AGCCCGGCTGGCCGGGGACACCGTCCTGGCCAGGTTTGCCCACACCGGGCAGGCCGGGAGGGGCTTGGATCCCGGGGGCCCCCGGGGGCCCCTGCAGCCCCAGCTCTCCTGGGGGTCCGGGTTTGCCCAGGGGTCCCTGCGGGCCGGGGAAGCCGACCATGCCCGGCTTGCCCACCCCTGGCAGGCCCACGGGGCCAGGGGGGCCAGGCAGCCCAGGCGGACCCTTCAGCCCGGGCAAACCCGGGATCCCAACACCCTTCTCCCCTTTTGGCCCTGGGATCCCAGGGGCTCCTGGGGGCCCCTTCATCCCGGGCTCGCCCTTTGGCCCCGGCTGTCCCTGCAGCCCTGGAGGACCTGCTTTCCCTATGCCTGGAAGCCCGTGAGGCCCTGGTGGTCCTTGTGGCCCAGGTATCCCCATGGGCCCAATCTCCCCCTTCGGCCCCATCTCCCCTCTTGGCCCTGGGGGCCCCATGACCCCTGGTTTCCCTGGCATCCCTGGCAAACCCGGCTTCCCAATTCCTGGGTATCCTTGTGGGCCTGGTTTTCCTTTGGCTCCTGGCACACCATGACCTGGTAATCCTGGTGGCCCTGGTGGCCCTCTTGGTCCAGGCTCACCGGGAGGACCTTGCTCGCCCCTCAGACTGCGCACAGGTACTTCTAGGTCAGAGAGAAAAGAACAGGAAAAAAAGAAAAGGAGAGGGGGAGAGACAGAAAGTGATTGCAATTGCACCCTTCGAGAAACACAAAGGCAGTTTTGAATTGAATGTGCTTGTTATGATGCCTCTTGGTTTTGTGGTAGGCAGAGCTGGCCAACAAGTTACAGGTTGGTGTTTGGAGTGAAGAGGGTGTTCCTACTCTTTTGTATACTCCAGACTTGCATGCATATTTCTGTTTCTGTAAAATAATTATTTTGCATCATATTTGCTTTTTTTTTTTTTGCCATGCAAAAGCTATTTACACTTCACTAGTGTTTTCCACCCATACAATCTTATGCAGCGAAATCTGCTTTTTGTCCTGTATTGCTGTAGACTACCCTACTTTTAAGACTTTTTGCAGGACACAGAAGCTGCTCGGTGCTCTCATGCTGTGGGAGTTCTGACATGAAAGTGCTTTTGCTGGAGGGGCGTACATTTGCAAGAACAATTTAAAATGTTTGTAGGTAGCTATGACTGCATTTTCACCAAGGCTTTGGTTCCCATTAAGATATTACTGGAAACCTACAGCCTTACCCAGCATTGCTGAGCTCCCACAGGTTTTTGGCGTAGCCACATCTAGTCAGAGCTCTTCTAAACACTTCACAAAATGTTTTTATTGTCCAAACCCACATTTTTGTGTATGAGACCACTTAGCGTTGCAGGTCAGGGTGAGGGAGTTGCCGTGTGGGAGTGGTTGTGCTGGGGTTGGTTGCTTTTCAAGCTGGAGGCTTTTTGTGTTAAGTGGAAAGTCTGCTCTGCTTCTCTCCAGCTATAAAATGGAAAAAGAAGTGAGAGGTTTGGGGGAAGGGGAGAGATGAGGTTTCAGGGCAAGAGCATTAACTGTTCTTTGTGAGGCAGAAATCCTCCCTCTCTGTACATGTTGTGTTTTATGCACGTAGAAAAGCGCCTTTGCTCACAAGATGTGTTGGTTTTGCAACAGCCAGTTGTGCTTTTTCAGACACTCCAAAAATAGGCCCTGAAATCTTCCATTTCCCTCTGAAGCCAGCAGAGGCTGTGGTTACACTGAACCCTCAATAAGACAAAGAGTTAACCAGCTTGTCTGAAGTTGCACAGATGCTTGCTGTCCCCACAAGGATTTTATGACGCAAGGTGTTCCTGGTTGCCCTTTGTATTTTGAACATGGTTTTTTTTTGTTTTCTTAAATATCCTAATATTGTCCAAATTTCCTTTACTGAATACTGAAAGTGCTTGTACGTGCAGTCTCATGCAGTAATGCCCTCTACCTTCAATGCCTCTGTTATGCCTGTAAACAACCTACAGAAAGAGGACTGGAGAGTCAGAAGAGCAATTGTATGTTTTTATCTGCAAACCTCTAAATCACAGGGTCTGGACAAATGCAGACAAACTGGTCATATTCCTGTAAATTCAAATCCTGGGGCTCTTAGCTCTTATTTCATGTCCGGTCGCTTCAGTGAGAGTGGGAGCACCTCCAGGCAGGACCCCAGCCTGTCTGCCTGGGCCATCATTGAAACCCCATCAGAGGGTTTTCTGCAGGCAGGTGGGGTTATAAGGTTTCTCCTAGCCTTGAATAAGCACCCAAAGAAATCTGGGGCCAGCCCTGGGTGCTGGAGGCTCGTCACAGGTAGGGCTGCTCAGAGGCTGTGCTGCGGCCCGAGGGTGACTGTGGCCTTGCTCTGGTGACCCTGAGCTGCCCCACAGCTCACGTGAGCCTGTTTTGTTTGCCCAGGGATAGGTACCAACCGGGTCAGTCCTTGGGGCACCTGGGTGCTGTGCCCAGCCTGCAGCAGCCTGCTCCCCATCTTCTGTCCCTGCCCTGGGCAGACAGTGCTGTGGGGCGCCAGGTGGGACCGTGCAGGGGTGGCGAGGGACAAGCGGAGCCTACCTTTCTCTTTCTTGGGAGCCATGTCCTTGCCGAGCAGAGGCATCTGCGGGACCTCCTTCATGTACTGAGGCAGGGGGGGGGCTTAAAAAAAACATGTGGGGCACCTCCTTGCCCATGTGCGGCATTGGGATGCCTTCCTTGCCCAGCGGCATGTGAGGTACTTGTTGTCCAAGGGGTTGGTACTGGGGCACCTGGGGTGGCAGCTGCTTGATCCCATAGTAGACACCGCCTTGAGCAGACCTCACCAGCTCTAGGTAAATAGTGACAGCCACTGCCAGCAGCTGCACAGGGAAGAGCAGCACGGCCATCACCTGCAAAAAATACAACAAAACCCACAGTTGGCAGAAAAATGTTTTCTCGTGTCATGTGTTTCGCATTAGGGCCGGCCTGCTTTCATTTTCTGCAGCGAACTGGACCTAAACCTCTGGAAACTGGCTCTGGTTTGTGTGTTGCCCTGGAGGACATCCTGCAGCAGGCCTGTATCTGGTTTATTGGTGGCTCTTACTCAGACAGTACTATTATAGCAAATGTCCTTATATGCGTTTAGTTTTGTACTACCCTGCACACCCTGGGTGGTGCACTCTGCGGTTTCTCCATACGAGGACCTGCTCCCTCCCATCCTCAAGCTGCAACTTGCTGCTTTCTCACTTGTGTCAGCGCTGTGACACAGGGTTTGGGGAGCTCTGCTGCAAGCTCTGGCACAGGGGGAGAGCAGGCCAGGGGCACGTGGGGATCTCTTAAACACTTTCTGCCCAAGGAAGTGAAATTATCAACGCCTCTTCTGCTGTGCTTTCCATAGCAATGAAAGCTCATTTTCTGCAGCTTAAATCTGTGCCTAGGATTGTGCCCCGTGGCTGCAGAGTCCAGGGCCTCTCCATTTCTATCACAGCTCCTTGCCAACTCTCCTAAGCTGGGCTCGGATCCTCTCCGCCTTCACCCAGAAGAACTGGGCCATCACTGCCTCCAGGCATGTTCAGCCATCCCAAGCCTTTCTCTGGGGATGTTCAACTCTTTTCTAGATGTCTCCCCCGCTGCAGACCCTGTGTCCTCCCCAGGCAGCCCATCCCAGTGCCTCACCAGCCCTGGTAACACAACAGAACAAGGTTGTTGTAGAAGCTTGGGACGTCTTGTCCCATCTGCTGTTGTCTTTCCTTTCTGCAGTAAGGGCATTACTAGCAGGTGAGCAGCAAATCAGGAACTGGAAACTCCCTAAACGAGTGCAAATTTGGGGGCAGCCTGAGGTAACAAGGACACCCTCCACGTGTTTGAGTATTTTGCAGTTTGTCCCGCAACCAAGCCTGGCAGGGAAGTCCTGCTCTTTTCAAATGCACACAGCAATTGCCAGGCCTCATGGCTGTTCCCCGCCATCCCTGCTTTTCCACCATGCAAAGACATCTTGCACCCAACCCGGGCACCTTGAAAAGCCCCCGCCACACAGGCACACCTGAGCTTTGCCAAACTGCTCGGCGGGACTTGCTCCCAGCAGCTGCTGGGCCCTGCTGAGCCCAGGTGCGAGGGGGCTGGCCTGAGGAGGCAGCGAGGGCTTTGTGCCACCTGCTTATTTTCCTGTCCTTCCCCAACAGCCCGGCTCAACGTAGAAGACAAAAAAGCCCCTCGGTCTGTAGCAAAGGGGCTCAGCACCATGCCCTCTGTGTCTTGGGAGGTATCTTGTGGGGAGAAGCTTTCCCCCTTTTCCTGCTGTGGCTGTTCCCCGCCTGAGTCCAGCTGCTCGTGGGGCTGCAGCCTTGGCTCCCCTGCGCGGGGTGATTCTGCAGCATGCAGCAGGACCCCCTCGCTTGGGGGGCAGCAGGATCCAATGTGGGCTGGGACGTGTCCTTGCAGGAGCCCTACAGAGACCTGGCTTTGGGCAGGTAAGGCCGCTGCCGAGAGCCAGGGGAAAGCGCGAGAGTTAGGAGGGGTTGGAGGAAGGAAATTATTTATGGAGGAGGGGGCAGCAAGTGGCTCTGTTTGCCCCCTGTAACGCTGCATAGTGTACAGCAGGCCTCAAAATGGGCCTCAGAATAATTTGGGAGGGTGGGACTTTGCCATCCGTGAGGGACTTGTGCCTGGTGGGCAGAGGCTGTGAGCAGGCTGCAGGGCGGCCGAGAAACTCGCCAAGCTCAGGGAGTGGGTCAGTGGCACCGCAGGCGTCGAGCCCCGGAGCCATGACTTGTGTTTTCCTCACTGGCCGCTGTAGGGCTCGGCTCAAGCACTGGGCGGGCTGGCATGGACCATCCCAGAGAAACGGCTTCTCTCGCTGCTCTGTGCTGTGGTGAAGGTTATTGATCTGGTGGTAACGTTGGGTGTCATTTAGTTTTTATGTTTTACTCCTGCTCAAAGTTGTCCATTCACATTGCATTAGCAAAGTACCTGGAGAAATGCTTGCTGCTTTTTAAAAACTTTTCTCCTTAATTTTGTTCTATAAGACCTATCTCTCAATTGAAATTAGTGTATCGTCATTACTGAAGGTGTAAGTGGAGGCTAAGTCAAAACTGTATAGTTAAAACAACCAGCAGAAGGTTAATATCTTCAATAATGATCCTCAGTAGACAAACGAACTACAGAAAAGATGGACCTATGTGTTAACAGCAACACAAACCATTTAAGAAAATGAAATATTAATGAATAAACACTAGATGGAGCATATGTTGCGCAGCTGAGTTTCTACAGTCACTTTCTCTCCCAGGAATTTAAGGTCTTGGATATAACCAGCTGCCATGTGGCAAAGAAAACCAGAGCCAAGATGTACAGGAGTTTGTAAGTGTAGCTAAAGCCCAAGCACAGTTGCTCATCTTTGTCCAGCAAAGCATTTCAGCAAACGCTTCATCTCCAGTGAGCTGAGTGTGGCTTTTAGCCCACAGCTGGCTGCTTTGCTGTGAGCTGAAGGATTAGGGCCTTAGGACGCAGTCTTTCTGCTTAAAGCTCAAAGGCGCTGGACTGCCAGGACAGCCTGTGTGTGATTTGGTACTGTGGCTCAGCTGGGATGTGGTAACTTATTAACCTGCTGCAGCTTCATCTGGGCACGTGGACGCCCAGCAACCTCTTTTTGGGGGGATGGGTGGCATTCCCCACTCTTCTCTCTGTTGGCCCTTCTGTTCCTTTCTGTACCATAACGAGTAACTGGCTGCAGCTTTGGCTCTCTGTAGCTGAGTAGGGTAACACCTGCCTCAGCCTGCAGGGAAAATCCCAGCTACTGGAAAATTCGCAGCATTCTGTGCGTCGCTCCCAAATGAAAAGAGATGGAGAGAAATGCGGTGAAACCTTTAAAAAAATTATTAGAAAATGTCAGATGATTTAGGACTGTTGTGGAAACCTACAATCATGAAGGGCAGGGTGGATTTTGAAGAATGAGGGTATTAAATTAGCTTCTTGGCTACTTTGTTGTTCTGGTGGCCAGTTTTCTGGGGTTTGTTATTTTAAAAAGATAACTTCAGTGGAATAAGTGGAGAAGGAAATAGGTAAAATTCCTTTGGATGTAATTTTTCTCTTTGTTTTTATTACAAAACATGGGCTTTGTGTGCGAGTGGGAGCTATTTGAAGTAATTGAAAAAAATTTCCTACGGGGACACCAGCCTGCTTGCAGCTCAGGGTGAACTCAGCCTCCTGCTGCTTGTGCTGAGCTCCCTCGGCCCTGCCAAGTGTCATGCAACGCACCTGCGGTTTAACAGGCGTGACCGCACAGCACATGAGAGGATTTTGTGTGTGCATGTGGAAATTTTGAGGAAGATCAGGCAAGAATTCTAGAGATAGGAAGGCTCCAGAAAATGAGGTGATCTCATTACATCTGTGTTTCTTTTGGTGTTTTTTGACTCATCATAACCAAAACAGTGTGGCCTGGAAATGAGAAATTGCTTCTCATCTATTGATTTTGTCTGAGGCTGGTGCCTGTGAGTAGCTGAGGTGGCAGGTGGGGGTTTGCAAGAGTCAGTCCAAAACCAGCATTGTCTCAACCTTGTCATCAGGGATATGGACAGTAAGGTACCCCAAAAGTTAAGCTAACATCTTGACATGAGTCTGCAGCAGCCTGCCTGAGATGCAGTTGCTGATCCTGGGAATGGAATGCCAGGCTTGTAAGGTCATTATGCCCTGGACAGAGCAAGGATGAGAGCTGAGAGCTTGTTCATCTGGCAGAAAAACAGCAAAAGAATGAGAGTGCTGGTATCTGCTTCTCCCTTCTAGAAACTTTGTGAGGGGAGATAACAGCCGAAAGAGGGAGCCTTGCAGAGGAA